AAATAAAATGTTCTATTGGCTAGAAAATTGCCTTGTTGATGAGAATGTTAAAGAGTTGTTGCTGAACTATTATTGTCTTGTTCCTTAATATCATCATAATCATGGTTTTTGTCACTTCCCTCAACATCTTCACATGTATCAATTTTTCTTTCTTTTTGGTCCTCCTTCCATGCTGAGATGCTCCTGACATTTTGGGACTTTTTGGGTCCCTCTTGAAAGTTTTACTGTCTAAATTTTGCGTTGTTCATAGTCTTCCATCAAACGCCATCTAAGAACATTCTCTTCTGTCGACAGATTTAATATTCGTCCCACACTTGCTGATGGCCTCTTGTTTCTGTTAAAAACGTAGATTAGTATTGCTGGGCATTGAACTGAGATTCCACTTGGCTTCGTCGAACCTGCTTCGTGTAACAAACTCTCAGCATTCATTTTTACATTAAGTTTCATTTGATACAATGCCATTCAGTTAGAGATTCTCTTTACCGGCCCATTCAAAAATATCGGTCTGAATTGCCCGACAAACTCGCGGTGGATGCCGATAATACGAACGCTAATATGATTACGTGTTGTTATGCGTGATCTTTTTACCGTCTTCACTGTTTATTGTCAGTTTTGTGACATGGAATGTCAATGTAAAAGCTTAAATCCTAGCTGTCTAGGCTTAATCTTTGAATATGACGATGGCCTCACATTTTTCGACTAAGATATTTTGAAAAATACCTTCCTTATATTCGTGTAAATGCCATATTTAATTTCTTGCTCAAAAGCAGTTGCCCTTACTTGAGTACATATTCTCAAAATATTTAACATTCATTCAACGAACTTATTAATTTTGTACATTTTTCACCTTAATTAGAATATTTGTTTGGAATTTCTACTTCTTGATAAAGCTAATCATTCTGAATACAAAACTAATTCCAGTTGTACCAAAGTGGAATCACTTTAAACTTTTTTCTGAGTTTTAAAACACAACTTAATATTAATTTTCTTTAGTACATTATTTAGTATTTTAGTTATATTTAGTATTTTTAGTTACTATTCATTATTGATTACTGAAAATTGTTGTTAATGTTTAGTTTATAAGCAATTGTTAGTGGGACATTCCTGGCCCATTGGTCTTTCAGAGTACAATGGAAAATAATAATACTGAAAAGAAAATTATCTTTTTCTATACTTTTAATTATGAAATAATACAATAACAAAAAATGATAATAATTACATTTATTTTAAATAAAATTTGACAAAGTAGGGATAAATGAAATGGGTTATTTTTGATTCCTGGCACATTGTGTTTGTACTTTTCTCTTTTTGCTACACCTCTACTGCTGCCTTGTTACTGCAAAAAATGTGTATTGCCATAAATACAGAACAAATACCAGAAATCAGTTGAGGATGCTATATAAAGTATTAAATATTTAAAAATAAATATTAAAATGACATAAAGCACACAGTAAAAATGGAAAACTATTCTAATGGAACTTTTTCAAATACCGACTAGACAAAAAATTCAAAAAATTACTTGTAACCGTGCATTTGAAAAAAAAAGTGTCAGCATTATAATAAACTAAATAATTGAAAACAAACTAAAAGAATCCTTGCAACAAAAGAATATGAACAGGAAAAAGTAAAACTGTACAAAATGAGGAACCCAATGTGCATCTTCCTGTAACAATGACAATAAAACAAAATCTTTGGAATCGCTTGTAACAGAGCATTAGAATGCAATACACACACTCTCCACAAGAGTGCAGAATGCACCAATAGAGTGTTATGTGTATCCGAGAGAACTTTTAAAGGAATCTCTTGGGAGGGATATATATGTCCCACTGGTCATGAGAGAGTTAACTTGCTGTATTCTTTACCACTATTCCACGTTGTCATTCTGATCTACTCACTTGCGCTGACACTTTGATGTCTCATTGTCTCTCCCATTACTATTACCAACATGCAATTTTTGAAAATTGAGATAGTTCAATGAAAATGCAAATCTGTGTCATTCTTTTAACAATTCATTGTTTTTTCCATTTAAAAAAATTAAAGGGAAAATTTTGAGCAGTTTTTGAGAATTTGTTTTCATTAATCTCATTAATTTCAAACAACGCAAAAACTATTCATTTTTTCAAAAAGATATACATAACCTTTTTTAAGAACAGGTTTGTTTAAGGCAATTTTATCTTCAATTTTGTAGCTTTGAAATATAAACTTTTTGCAATACTTGAAAATTCAAAGTTCACTGGAAAAGTGACGAGCATAACTTTTTTGACTGACCTTTGATGCATACCAGAAGAAATTTAAATAAAAAATTTGTAGCCGTGTTTGAGAAAAAAATGTTTAAAAATTGACTGTATTTCATGGATAATTGTATAAAAACTACTCATATTCGCATTTAATAGTTTCGATTGCAAATATTACCCAAATAAAAACATATTAGGTAAATAAATATCACTTTTTTTATAGACCAAAAATTATTGAATCCAATGTATTTTAGTTTAAAAAGCTACAACAGCCTAGTGCCTAGTATACAAAACTGTAAATTAGGCACTATTCCACAAACACGAAAAAATGGTGTGCATTATATAAAAATGATTGCCATTTTGAACTATGTACATTCAATAAATATTGTTGAAAACTATTTTGAACAAATGAAACATAAGGGAATTCATAAAAAAAGTAAGATTTTTTTCTGAGATAGACCACTTCAAATGAATTGATAGATTGACCTGTACACAAAAATGCATAAATACTTACTTATGTCAATTGTTCACAATTTCTGTATATGTAACACTGACATTCATCAATATAATGTAAATTAATAAAAATAAATCAGGAAATACTGTGGGGTGTAACGGAGAATTATGGTGCTTCTTGAGGACATACATTTCTGTAATGAGAGGGAAAGGGTTACAAACTATAGTTCTTATATATCTTGTAAATTCACATTCTCTTAATAGACTTGCCCTTCTCCTCCTACCTCCTACCTAAGATAAAGACATTGGAAGAGGTACCCCTAAGATTGAAAACATTTTTCAATCTTCAAATTTATATTCTGCTACCAGAATTTATGGAATGTAATTGAAGTAAATCTTTAAATATCGAAGAATTGAATAATGAATCAGAAATTTCCAAGCCCGTACTCCATTCCTCTGTATATAAGATCTTCATAATCTCCTATTAGTGTTTTTATTACATTTTATAAAATTTGTTTCATGAATGTGTATTTTTATATTTTGATTTATATCTATGTTGAACTATTTTACGCACAGGGAATACCTTTCCTTAAATATATTGCAAAAGGCATTTGCTTGCTTTCATGACATTATAAGCGCCATTTTTGTATTTTAGTTTTTCAAGTGTACAGCCTGTTTTTTTAAAAAAAAAGTAAATTTTAAAAATCCGAAAAATTGTCTGCATTTGAGAAATTTCTTTTCAGTGATTGTTGCTGAAATACAGTGGAACTGGCCTTTATTATCATGTTTCCTGTTGTCATGATTCCCCACAATACGCCAATATTTTTATGCCCCTATCCCAATTTTAGTAAATTACTCATTTATATGTCCAACAATCCCACGTGGCACATAAAAAGTTGTTTGGTAGCATATTCCCTATTTACCCATTTTTGGTACAACAATACCATCTTCAAAGTGTATTGGTTCCAGAGTACTTGAGGATACCAGAGAGTATAGAGGCATACAGGGTTTCTGAGAGTATTCAAGTCCTTTTTTGTCTGTTCGAACCAGAAGCAGTGAAAACTGTTCTATTGTGCCTCCGCCATCTTTATTCTTTGTGTGTTTGTGTTATGTCAAATTACCATGGGTGTCTTTGAATTTGAGACACCAAGGTCACCAGTTCTTTTTTTCTTCTTTTTTCTGTTAATTTGCATTCATTTTTAATGTTTGTGTATTGTAATTTTATCTTCATTCATTTTTATTTGCAATTAAACTAGTTTATCTAACATGTGCTTGAGTGTTATTTATGCGTAAATTAGTTTCTATTTCCTTTTATAAAATTCTGAAGAATTAAATGTAAAACTAAATTAAGAATTTTTTAATTACTCATTTTCCTGTTTATGCTGTTTAAAATGTTAATTCATTGAAAAATGTGCTAACAAGATGCCATATAGAGGTTATATTAATTTGATTTTTCTTCTCTTGATAAAGTTGTACGAACACACCATTTTATGGATGATCCAAACAAAATGTTTTGTGCAGTGCCTCCTCCTCCAATGCCACCTGCAAACTTTGCTGGGTTGTCTTTGGAAGAACTGCAGAGAATGGAAGGACATGCAAGAGAGAATGTAGAAGCAAGATTACAATGTCTACGCAATATTCAACTTCTTCTTGATGCCTCTGTGACAATGATGCATCAATACTCCATGGTAGTTCAGTCAACTGCCAGGTAAGAATCTTCGTTATTCTATTTCTGCTTTCAAACCTACAAACATCCAAGCCTCTGGTCCTGTCCTCCAGGCCTCCGGGCCTTCCGTACACAAAGACCTGCAATCCTTCCTTGAAACCTTCAAATTGTTACTCCCCCCTCCCCCGCTTTCTTTCCTAACCCTGCGCCCAGCTATGTTAACATTTGAGAGCACCTTACTGTTTACATGGCTAATTGTCTTTGAAATATTTCTAAAGGATTTCCCAGAAAATTAACAAGATTAATTGTAAAAAATACCAAAACATTGCACAAGAACTTTTTTATTTAAAACTAAACAGCAGCTAGTGGTGTTATAGAATGGCACAGACTTTTTTGTACTAGTTATATTCCTAACTTTTTAGTCTGGGCTAGCTTTTTGGTGTTCTCTCACCCTAGTTTCTATTTCTCTGTTGCCTAAAATGCCTCAATTTTTCGGCTCCCTAAATGTAGGATTGAATTTGTCTTTAAGAATATTATAGGAGAGTAGAACCTCATCATTTACACAAAATAAAAAAAGTTGGAGCTGCTTTTGAGAAAATGTCATCTAAGTCTTTTGGAAAAGGTGCAATTTTAAGCTAATTGTCATAGAAAACTTTTGTTTTTGATAAACTTCATCAGAATTGATTTAAAGCATTTGTTCTCACAAATGCAATACTGTATAAAAAATGTAAGTGAATGTTAATGACATCAGAGATTTAAAAAAACATACATTTGTGAAATATTTGAAAAATGGAAAGAATACTATAAAATGGTGCTGATATGATATTCAGTGCCTTTAGCACTATCTGTATTAAGAGTTTAAAGGAAAAAATTGGAGCAGATTTTGAGAAAATCTTGTTTTATATATTGCCCAAAACTGAGTGGGAACTACAAATATTTTTGAAACAACTTATAAAACATAGAAAAATAAAGAATTTTTATCTCTAATAAAGAAAACACTGTCTCACTGACTGATCAACTGTTTTACCATAAGCAGTTTTATGGTATAAAGGACTAACAAAATGTAGATTCTGTTTATACAACGTGTCAGAGGAAATAATTTTCTACATATTAAAATAAGCTTTCATTCACTTTCTGTAAGAACCTGCCACTTCAATATTTTTTTCCCTGTAGCAATACAATATTCTCTTTGTACTGTATACATACTATGCAGTAAAATAAAAAAGTACTCAAACTAATGTGGAACAATAAAAATATTTAAAAATTAAATCTTATCTGATAACTTTTTTTTTTTAGTCCTCAGAGTCAAGGTTGCTTCATAAATCATGTGTTTTTACATCGGTGTCAGATAATACAGATAACTCCACTGTTTGAAGCAATGTAAGATTTCCCCAGAATGCTTCTAGACAAGCAACAACATAATGCCAGCTTGTTAAAAAACTGAATACTATAAAGAAAAAACAAGGAAGAAAGAGGAGAAACAAAAACAAGAATGAGAATAACAACAATACATATTAACAATTTCATTTTCCATTTTTGGTGTAATAAATACAATTTCCAGTAATAATAGAAAACTGCATGAGGAAGTACCTGAGCACAGACCTGAATGATATTTCATTATAATCTAACTAATTCACTCACTTGATAATCGACTTTTCACATTCATTATATACAAAAATTTATTATTAATTTATTAATGTCATATATTATAAATATATTATTAATTTATTAATGGCATATATGAATAGAACACAAATAAAGACAGATAATAAAGTAAAATGAAAGTCAAAACAAAAAGCTATTGAGGATTAAAAATGTTAATATTCTAAATAATAAAAAAAATAATAATAATAAAAAATAAAAAAGAAGAAGAAGAAGATATTATTAGCCAAATTTATTAAAAAGATTCTCTGTAATCTTTTGTTTTGTATTATCTTTTTTACATTTGATGTTTTAAATATATTGGATAACATATAAAAACTTTCATTCCCACTGCGTTATGTCTCCTTAGACTTAAATCCTTGTTAAATATGGGGAGTAAGACCTTGGATATTCTTGTAGTTTTTCTGATATATAAATATTACTCTTGAAACCTCACATAAATATGTAACAAAGATTTTTCAGTAAAATAATATTTAATATCTATCACATTCTTTTCTCTATTTAAAGACATTGTTGGGTATAATAAGTACTTTATATAAATAATTTTTAAAATCCTTTTTTGAATGTTATTTAATGATACTAATGTTGAATCATCAACTCCACCCCCAAGCTAAGCTGTAGTTGTCTAGAATGAAGTGTAGTATATCATCAATAATTATTTAGTTTCAAGAATTGATCTCAGTTTACTGAATACATAAATAAGATATATAGTCTTCTGTGTCAGTTGCAATGCATACTTCCATTTCAAATTTTGAATAATATAGACTCCTAAATATTTAAAAACTTCAACTCTCAATATATTTGGACAATGGCAGTCTAAATTATCACAGCTTCATTTGTGAAGCTTCATAGCACATATCTGTGGCATTTTGTAAGATAACTCCCAAATGTTATAAACACCGCCTTTCCTGTATTTAAGCTCAGAAAATTGCCATTTCTCTATTAAAGATAACTTTACTTCTAATTCATTTTCCACATTCTTCCAGAACTCATGTATGTTTGTATTTATGTCATCAGCAAAATTTATGTCATCAGCAAAATTTATGTCATCAGCAACTTGTAGGAAAAATTTTAAATGTCACTTAGGTATGAAATAATTAAAAATGGTCCCAGAATTGTACCTTGAGGCACACCACATTTCAATGTCAACTCCTCATTGTTATGGCCATTTATACTCGCGCAATTTCGTCTTTACACAGAGTGTTCTAAATTGTTTCAACTGTCCATTTTGGACAAAACTACAGGATGAAAAAATAAGGATGCTAATATCCATGCGGTGTTGCATAATGTCCACCATACTACACATATTGTGATCTATTGGATAAATAGCCTTTCATTAAATTGTAAAAATGCTTCTGAACTCAAGATAAAAACATTTTTTAATAAGATATCACGATTTATTGTGTCAAAAGCTTGTGCTGAGTCTAAATAATAGATATACAGTGTAACACCATTTAGACGTTTTGCACTCTTAAGTTGTTTTCGTTTATACGTTGTTTCTTTTGTAAGTCAGGATAAATTCTTATGCTATAAATGATTTAAGATATGGGTTTTACGATTATACGTTTTTTATGCGTATACGTTCATAATGAAAGTCCCTTGAAGACCTTATATCGTCCAAATGATAACGACATCGCGTGAGAGCGTTTACGTTATCGTAGAGGAGCCAATGGAATTTTGTATTGAATTTAATTTCGTCTCTACACAGGGCGTTCTAAATTTTTTCAACTGTCGATTTTGGACAAAACTATAGGATGAAAAAATAAGGATGCTAATGTCCGGTGCGGTTTTGCATAATGTCCACCAACGTTCCTTGATAAAAATGGGGCGCATTTAAAGGAAATATTGAAAATCGGGGAATCAAAGATTTATGTTATTAGGCCTAAGTCACTCGAGCGTTGCGTTGACGCGCGTCCCGTAACGCTGATGACAGCTGCGTTGACGCCCGTCGATGCTTACGCATACGAGTCTCTTAACGCGCATCGTAGATTAGCACTGTATCATATGCGAAACGACACACGAGCGGTCTTGGTGACGTTCGTTGTCGCAACAATCGTCTACGTGCGTTGACGCAGCTGACGTCATCAACGTTGAGGCGCGTCAACGCAACACTCGTGTAACCTGGGCCTAAAGGACTGTCCGCATAAACTGTGAATATCATTGCTATCTTTATTATTGGGCAGGCCAAGGCCTAGCCTGCTTGTCTTAAGTAACAAGTAATCTACTTCACCTTCCGGTCTCGATCAGGTTTTTGTCCAGTTTCCATGATCCATTGAGCAAATGCTGAAATGGCCCTATTTAACTTCTGAACAAAAATGTAGCTTCACTGCACATGTTTTGTTGAGCTCACCTTTTGCTTGTAGGAGTATGAACACACCGTGTGTTACTATTTTGTGAGCAATATAAAATATTAAATAATGTCTGCAGTTTGTTTACTGATGTAAATGAGTTTCCTACAACTCGCGAGCAGAAACTTCAAGTTTCAGAAGTTGCGAACTTCGCTTATTTTGAAACATTTTAATTCATCGTTGAACCAATTATAGTTTAAATGTTGGGAAGAGATTCTGTAGCCCAAGAAAACGTGTGCAGTTGGTACTTGCCCCTGTATGACACATACAGTTCTTACTGTTCTTTAACTAAATAAATCAAAATACCAGCATCTGATGGCACTTCCTGTGAGCAGGTCCAAGAGTGGAGCTCGCCAATAGTATATTAAGTTTTTGTTTTGCTCATAATATTCAATTTCAGTTATGCATTTTTCACACTTGTACATTTTTCCCCATCAGACCCCTTAACAAGGTGGAAGTTTTCCTGTCCTTGGGATATTTTTATCCAATAATTTACTCATTTCATACATAATATAATAACATCTGTAGTGCTTTTCCTTCCTTGAAACCCAAATGGATAAGTATGCATTATGTTATATTTGTCTATCAGTCTTTAAAATTGAATTTTCAAAATTTTCTCAAAAACATTTGCGAAATTACTTAACATTAACTTCAAGTTAATGAGGTCTGTCCATAATTCATTGCATTATTCTCATCCCCACTTATGACCACAAGTATCACTCCAGGTTTTTTTAAATGATTAGGAGTTTCCATTATTAAGTTAAACATATATCTTATTTGAGACATATATTTTGCAGTACTTGTAATTACTGTTTTAGGTATATCATCTGTACCAGCTGATTTCTTAGTAATTAAGGTGTCTATAATCTTTTCAATTCCGTCTTCATTAGAAGGAAATAGAAATAAGGAATCCACAATTACATTTTTTTCATATTGAGCATTATTAAAAAAGTTAATCTCAATTTTACCTGTTTTTTTGACCCAAGTACAACAAAAAATGTATTCCAAAAATGAGCAATTTCAGATTCATCATTAATATAAGTTTTAGTTGTCTAAAAAACCTCTTTTTAGCGATAGCGGTAGAAGAACAAAACCTGTGTCCCTACAAAATCTCATTTTAAGGCTTTGAAATGCCTTGTATTCAAATTATTCTCAACAGTAGTGTGCTTCACCATGTTGTAGATTGCATCTGCAATGAATATATTTAATTGAATTTAATATATATTTCTAACCCATTATTTATAAATTTGAAATGGAAATGGATATGCACGTCCCTGATGTCTGTGTCCTTAGTTCTTAAAGAGTGCCACTTTTCAATTTTTTTGTAGCAACATGTGCGTTGCTGAGAGAATCATTATACTGCTGTTGCAGTTGAGAGAGCAGTCTCAGAAGAGTGAAACCTCCAAAACCTCCAGAATTCTAGTAACTTCTTTTTTAATAAAGTGGCATTGCGACTCACCTTCCTATCCATAATGTTATCTGGATTTGTGAAATGCTGGATTAATCTACAAATTGTTGACTTTATGGGAACTGGCATTTCTGGAAATTTTTCTTGAAACATTTCCTGTCACCTCAAAAAAGATTTAGTGCCGAAGTAATCTTCCACCAAGAAGACATGATCCTTCATCAAAATTTTGACAGAATTCTTCTTTTCCAAACACAAGTTCTTTGATCTTGAATAAAATGAGAATGCATGACTGCCCAGGGACAGAATAAGTTCTTTCTCTTTGTTCCACCCAAAATAACCGCATTCTCCCATCCCGAAATTGTAGGGTTATGCTACTGCTGGGGGTCACTAAAAGAGAAAAGGATACGAAAGGGACTTCATGCATTGCCAAATTGCCAAAACAAGAGCAGGTGCTGCCAAGATAAAATATATACACACAACCATGCAAAATTAAAATTAGAAATTATGAAGTATTGGAAAACACAAATATGTGGGAGAGAACCAGTTTTAATAGTAATAGTAGTAGGAGTATCAGTGATTGCTTTCAATTCTTAGTGATCCCTAGGGATATTTACAATGGTTCGTTGCTAGCCCACTCTTCGATATATTTCTTTTTGTTGTGACCTTTTTAATTAACTCTCTCCATCCTTTTCTGTCTTGTGCCATATTCATTGCTTTGGACCTTAAGTATGTTTTTGGTTTATTTACAACTGTAATTTTTTTTGCATTAGAATGCCTCCTCCTTCATCACCACCTCAGGCTTCTACATCAGCTAATAATACATCTTCAGAACCTGTTCCAAAGCCATCAGTTACACCAGCAGAAACAAGACACAAGTTTGAAAAGTAAGTTACAAATTTTAGAAAAGTTAATATCCAGTGTCTGTTTGTTGGAGGGAAGTAAAAGTGGTGGGGATTTTGTGAATTGGAAATGTCGAAATAAAATTATCTTTATGTAATGTAATAGATTCATTTGCTTTAATGGCATATGTTTGTTGGAGGGAAGTAAAAGTGGTGGGGATTTCGTGAATAGGAAATGTCAAAATAAAATTATCTTTATGTAATGCAATAGATTCATTTGCTTTAATGGCGTATGGTAAGGTTTCGACATTATTGTGAACAATCTTGAGCTTCTAGCATGCACGTTATGTAGGTCAAAAAAGCATTAACTTATAGCAGGTATTATTCAAAAGTAACATTTGTATTACTTCATTACTCTTTTTTTTAAATTTCTTCCTTAGATTGGTTTTAAGAACTTCTTCAAGATGAAACGAAGGATTTTAAAGGTCTATAATTAACATTATGTTCTGATACTCATGAGATGAATGTCAAAAGAATTGATGGATATAATAGACAGGGGTTGATATTAATGCAATGTCATTTTTTTCTTTTCGATTTAGAACAATACTGTTTAAAATAGAAATTTGTTTTATGCTACGACAAAATCAAATGACCCATTTTTATACGTCATTTTCTTGCTTTCGACTAATAGTCATTTTTTACCATTTTACATAATTTTTATTGCATTTGTCACAAATTTCATCAATTTTAGTATCATTTTAATGGTACTAGCTTTGAACAATATTTATGAGATGCAACAAATGTTCACCACAGAATTCCTGAGTAGCCTATTTGATTTCTATGCTTATTGTAATGTCAGTCATTGTGAGTACTAAAGTTCCTGTGTCGCGTTTTGGTACCCTTCTCAGTTCGGCCGATTTTGTGATAAATAAAGGCAGATTTTATTTTAAAGAACAGTCCAAACCCGAAGTTTGCAAGCTGAGTTCAACTGCTTGAGTTGTTCAACTGAGGTGGTTTTGATAAAAAAGTTTTTGTCATTTTTCTTTGTTTTTGGAGCATTTTTAAAGCATTTTATTGGTAAATTTTGACAATGTTGTAAGTCATCCAAATCAGCCCCGTACTCATAAATATAATAGAAAAAATGGATTCATTAAGAAGTTGAAGCCTAGAGAATTAGATTTAATTTAGATTCATTGGGCACTGTGTCACCATTGTCAAGATGTTATTGTTTCTCCATTTTGGGATACCTAATAAATATTATCAGACAATCTCCTTTGGTTTTGATATATTAGTAAAAATAAGATCTTCTTATTATCAGAACATTGCAAAATTTTAATAACATTTCTCTATTCAAATTGTTTGGATTTTTATTTGCAATTAAAACGATTTATTAAGACAATTTTAGATGAAAGAATTGTATGAATATCTTGTTTAAAAATCTTGATTATATTGCTCATTTATTTCTGTTCAAATATTAAATTTTTATTTATTTATTTTTTTTTTTGTTCAACAGGCAAATTGCCCTATAACTGTGCAATTTTATAAATTCAATATTATAATAAACATTTTTTTCTTATTGCCTTTTAATTATAGAAATATGAAAATGAATTGTGATTCAGTTGCATATGTGATTTTCAGAGGTGACAATTTGGAAGGAGCAGCTGGACCATCAATAAATACAACAACAACTCCTACTACTACAACTACAGAGACTGGTAATTCTGAAGCAAGTCCTGTTAATGACGAAACCAGAGAACAACAAGAGATTCGACGTCGAAGATTGCAGAAATTTGCTCAAACATCTCAGACAACAGAATGAATTCTTGTGACTTGATAAATATACTTTTGAGACTTTAATTCGTGCAAATTTCTGAATCGAGAGTGATGTTCATGTTTGATTGTGAAAGTATCTGCCATGTGGTAAATGCACTGAGTACTATGAAATTCAATAACTTCAAACTGTTCCTCTGAAGATTATGGCCCTTTTATATGCAGAAATATACAGTGTATATTGAAAAACGTACTTGATATTTTTCATAATGACATGCGTTTCCTCTTTTAGATGTAAAATTGTATGTTGTGTCGAGTGCTGGAATTGAGGGGTACTGTGTTGTGCATTTTGTGTTTTGCTGATAATGTATTATATTTAATCTGTCTTGTATTATACTTTAATAGTGTTTATATTTTAAATTGTATATTGGTACTGTTTAAAATGTATTTAAAAGAAATAAGTGTACATACACTAGATGACCAGTGTGTATTGTGTGAGTTGGGTGGGATTGGTGTAATTGACAGGTTGAATGAATGTCATGGGATATGGGAGAGGGTAGAAGGGTTTATTTCAGTTTGCCTTATTACATTTGATTTCTTTCTAGTGGAAAAGACAAAAAAGTTTTCTCTGATATTTCCATCATTGTTTCGTAATACTTTTTTCACCTTTGCTGATGTTTATTTTATGTAGAGGTTATTTGTGATTCCTCTTAAGTAGGGAATGTGAATGTTAGTTGTAATTTCTATGGAGTGACATCACAAACCCACAATACCAAATGACTATTCACATTATAGAAATGATGTTTTGCATTGTGTTCATTGTATGTAGTGTGCCTTTGTTTGAATCTATTGTCTATGATTATTTGACTCTTTATTTTCAATTCAAGCATATCAAGTTGGTTCAAAGTTGGAAAGATTTTATTTTGTGAAGACATCTACCAGAACAATTTCTGCATAGCTGTGTGTGAGTTAGTTGAGTGATCACTTTGTACATAAATATACATATATAATTAGAAAATATTTCATGGAAGGTATGAAATGTCTTTCACTATTGCTAAGTTGAAGATTTTTCTAAACCGGATTTTTTTTTTTTTAATGTGTACTGATCAAGTTGCTCATTAAATGTATTGGTTGTAATTTCTTTTTTTTTTAATGCTTGCTTTGAAATAATTTAAATTTATATGTAAAAAGAAAAAAAGGTTATCATGGTTTATATAAAGTTATTTGTAGTACAAAGTTATACTCCCACAGAAACATGCTCTTCAGAGAATTATATTCTTGAATTTAAAACTGACCTTGAAAGTCATTGTATAGAAATGTTGCTACAGTAAAACTTAAACAGTTGTAATTTCCTCTTATTTTGAAATTTTGTTATCATATAATTATGATATAATTCTGGAACATATCATTCACCAATTCAGTTCAGAATTTAATTTGTAATTCTTAAGATTTCACCAAAAGTTTTAAAATTTTTTGTATTGCAGTACTGTTGAAATGAATGTTTTGAATTAATTTTCTAATCACCCATAATTAAAAATTGTTCTTGCTAGCTTACTATGTAATTTTGCTAGTAAGTTGTTGATCTTGTTCCATTATACAAATATTTTTATTAACTTAAGAATAAAATGTGATGTTAAATGGTATCTTCCAATACAAAAATGCTACAAACTTACAAAATGTCAACTCTGAAAAGTACACAATAAACTAAATGCTGTTGCATGTTGATGGATTAGTAATTCATGCTTTCTTTCAAAAAACAATCCTGGTAGTAAAAACATGTTAGTTCTCATAGGAATTATAAAGGGCAAAATTATGGTTGAATTTTATTTTTAATTAATAGGTAATTTTTATTGACATGCCTAGAATCAGGCCATTAGACTATCTTGGTCGACTATTGCAGTGATTTTGGATTATAAATTTACTCCGAGAAAAATTAATATTTTGAGGATGTTCTGATGTTTTGTTAAGTTGAGATGACAAAGATGGGATTAAAGGTGACTGGAATGTTATGTTCCTGAGTAATATAAACTTAATCATGTGGCAAAATGGAATCCTTTCTATTTATGTGGTATTAGTAAACCAACTGTCAATTCCTGTGACACATCTGCTTTGTTAATATGGGAACTAGTCCAGGCAAAGCATTAGAGTTTTGGGTCAGTGTTATAGATTATGTTTTGGATGTGGTTTATAATAAAGAAAATTATTAATAATAAAGATTAAGTTTGTTGGATCATAACGCACTGTATATAGCTGGGTGAGAGGAGGAGGGGGAGATTTGTTTGCACTAGAACTACTGTCACTGCCCTACTGTTATTGGTTAGCAATTGTAACAATTTTGTTTTGGTACATAATCACGACAACTTAACAGATCCACAAACTAAAGAGATATGTACTTATGACAAATGAATACTGTAAAATATTCAAACTTGACACCACTATTAAAGACTAACAAAAATATAGTGTTGATGGGAAGCAAAAGAAAATGGCTTGGCCACCAGAATGGAATGCTAGAAACCAACTTTCAGGTAAGACTAATAGAAACAAAATGGCAATCAGCGTAATATTTAAGAAATAATTCATGAAGTGTACATTTCATTTTATACTTTCCGCCATCGCAGCTATATCAACTCTTTGGGTATACGTTGATGGATATTCTTTGGTTTTATTTTTATGCGCTGGAGTTTAAAATGCGATTGCGCTTGCTTTCGCTCACGTGGTCCAGCGTCCAGCCAACTTCATGGTTCTGGTCCAGTCACAGAGTATATGAAATAATACAAATTTTGAGAATTTGAAATGGGTCTTGCTTGGTCAAATTAGTCGGCTTCTTACCATACAGAAATATGTAGCCCAATGACAAACGGGTATGTGCGTGCTGTGTGGTTGGTGTTATCACCTGGTCATCCTGGTCATCACTACGATCCGCTACGGTCAACGTGATTATTTGAAGTTATTTGTGTTGTGAGTATTACATTGAAACTCATGACTTGTCAGATTTGCAGTTTTCCAAACAAAATAGTATCTGTTTAAATTTTTCTTGAAACGTCGACGAATGAAGTTGTGAAGATTATTAATGTGTGAGGTTATCTACAGACAACAGTTCATGGAGTGTAGAATTTGTAAGAGAGAATGAGCAGGTTATGCGTACTTACGGAGTTTGTTATCAATGTCTATTATTTGAACTGCTGAAAGAAGAGTGAATCGAGTTGTGGAGTATTTTGTGATTCAATCAAAATCCTGGGACCAGAATGGGTCGGTTTTACTACATGGATGTCTCTCTTACTTTAATTACAGAGCAGGAAATTAGCGCTATTTCCTTCAAGCAACATATTCTGCATTGCTTGAAAACTTTATTTGGAGATTTAGGAGCAAGTGCCCCTGTAGATGTTTTAAAGTATGATGTTGGGGCACAACGAGGTATTGTACGTTGTCCTGCATCTTTTTATGTGAAATTACGAACTTCTCTGGTACTGTGTGGAGACTATTGGGGTAAACTTTGTGTATATAAAGTGCACCAAAGTTCATCGAGTTTGATTTCTCTTGTTGGAAACAGTCGAACTTTCTGTCATGGAGTACATTAATCATAGAGTATATTTATAAATGCTGTAATGTTGTTGCAAAAAAGTAATTGTTTATTAAATGTTGCATTTGAAGCCTACCCCCTTGATAATTTTTTCATTTTAATTATTTTGTTTCGCCATCGTATATGAGATAAGTTTTTATAGTGTATACAAATAATTAAGAGCACATTTAATTCCCTTTCTTATGTTTTAATAAAAAAAATGACTACAAAAGAACATTTTCAGGCTATGGGCAGAAGAAGTAAATTTTGTGGAAGTCAAATAAGTTCTATTACTCGCAATAAACTATACATTGTGTCTGATGTGAAAATTTGACAACTGCAAAAGTTAATAGGTAATTGTAATAGAATGGCCAGTTGAAGCAAAATAATTTTAATAACATAATTTATTAAAACGGCTATCTGCATAAACGTCACATTATATGTCACACTTTTATTTGGTAAATTATGTCTCTCCCTCTCTTTATCTTCTCTCTTCTCAGTCATAGACTAAGCAAGTACATATTATTACTCTATGTCTCAGTCCTTTGCAAAACTGTGTATCTTGAATCAAATGTGTTGAAAGGTCGAAAACTAGATCCACTGTTTTTCAAGTAGTCTTTCGAATTTTGTGAATTGTGTGCATTTCAGTTACATGATCTGTGTCTATCTTCATGTAGTATATCTGTATCTCGGATCTTCAGAAGCTTCTTTGTCAAAAAATGTGTTACTGAAAGTAGCTTAGATGCTAATTGTATCTTATTTAAAAGGGTTTCAAAGGGATAAAAAAATAGTAAGGTGACTGTTATGCAAAGATGATTTTACTAGTGTAACTTGTCTTGAGCCGCCACTCAAAATTAAGAGGGCTTCTTTGACCACTTGAATGGAAAGTTAATCTGGGATGGTGAGTATTTGTAAACGTTAAAAGTTGTTGCAAAGGAGGGGTTACAATAAGCAATTTTTGCAGACTTTTGGTTCGTATAAAAATAATGTTTAATTTTTAATTATAAGCCAATTTTTCAGAAGTGTAGACAGTTATAACATTTAAAAAAACATGCATTCTTATTATAATATAAATTTGACTGATGCTCAAAGCAGGTGTTCAGTGTTTTAAAAAATAACTTGTGGTGATATCAATAAACACAAACATAACGTGCAAAGAATTTCATGCAACTAACAAATATGATTTTGAAATTTTAAAAGAGCAAGAAAAAGTTCTGTGTGAGTTTGGAAGAATGAATGTTTTTTATTGGCTATTTTCTTTGTTAAACATATCTTAATAATAGTAAACGTATATTGTAAGTTAAGAAAATTATGATATTCATTATTGTAATATGAGAAGTTCACTACTTACATATTAATAGCTAATTGTTGTCGTTAAATTATTACTGATTATATCTCTTAGTTTTTGTAGAAGCACTCTAGTTTCACAGTTCGAAAGATGAAATCTGTATATTTAGCAGTTTTACCTTATCTACCGTGACATAAAAAGAAATCATTAAAATAAAAATAAACTGTGTGTCAGTTGAACTTAAACTTTATTTAGAAGAGATAATTATTTGAATAATCACATACAATCATGGGAAAAAAAGTGTTTGCACACTTTCATATTTAGTATTTTATAAGTAGTAGTGTTTCTTATAATTTGCAATTGGGCGATTTAAAATGCATCCTATGGGAATCCAGGCAGTTCTTCGAAAAATTCCCCTTCAAACAGAGAGGTATATAAAGGGTAGCTACTCAGAGGTAAGGTACTGAGTGCTTCACCTTTAGGGTGCATGAGTTTAATAGTATTAATCTTTTATTTGTTTTTATATAGTACTCGAAAACATACCACTTAATTGTAATAAGGTGTGTTATGTAAATTAATGTAACGAGATCAAATACATGATTTTTTTTTCTCTTATTCACTATGAAACTTTGTCCTATGATATATTTGAGTCACGCTCTTCGAGTCTTCATTTCCCAGATTGCTGATGGTCCGTAATAATGCTCAGAGAGCGCAGCACTATCCTCATTGCGTAGACTTTAGCATGCCCGTTTGTCTCAAATACGAAATTTCGTGCTAATAGGTTGACAACTAACTCGTATTATCATGAGATCAAAGGTTAAATAGTAGAGATCGCTGACTTAAAGTAATTTATTGGCCGAATCAGAGATAAAGATTGAAATTTATATTTTAGGCCTTGCGAGTTATTAATGTATTACGGTCCGTCCATGAATTACGTAACGCAAATTTGGAGTATTTTTAATACTCCTCTTCCCCATATAACGCACCCGGAGCGTGCGCTTGAACACCCCTAAATAATTACGTAACACATGTCCCTTAGTAAATTGCAAGAAATGAAAATAAATTATAGAGGCGGACACTCAGTGGCGGATTTACACATGGGGCGCCCGGGGCACTACGTTTCATGCAGTCTTTTTTCTATTCTTTAATTTTTTTTAAATAAAGATAAACTTTCAATAACTTAACAAGGATTAATTCAATTAATAACACAATTTTTATTTAATAAAATTAATAACAGTACACTTAATCAACTAAACTCTCTTGCGTCTTGCTGACTGGACAGCGAATCGGTCGATAAGATCATCACTTTATATTTCGGATTTTATTTTTCGGATTCTATTGCCAACAATCGGTCGATGAAACCGTCACAGTATATTGATTTTAATATTTTGGATTTTATTGCCAACAACGCTAGGACATTAATTAATTATCGGCAATTGTTGATCTGAGATAGTTTTCACTCGTTTCAAATACACACACACACACAAAACTTATCGATGGGTAGACAATCATCCAGTATGAAATATTAACATTGTAATATACCACATACAAGTCGTTTTCACGAAGAAACTTATTTAATTCTTTTGGAGACAAATTTTCAATATTTTGCAAAGCGCAGTGTGCGAGGAAATGTAACATTTCATGTCCCACTATACCTTCTTAATCCGTGTCCCAGAAGTTTGAGGGAAAGTTTTTTTTTTTTTTATATATATTTCTTGCATTCAAATTTCAAAGTTATAAAATTATGGAGAACGTTCCTCTGATCTTGTAAGAATCGTTTCTTCGAGTTAACTTGCGAACTAAGTTATCTAAAATAATAGAACGTAGTGACATTGAAGATAACGCGGCTCAATTGTTGTTAATTATTAAAAGTTTCACTTTTTTATCAATTAAAGAGTTAAAAAGTGGTTGTGTATACCTTTCATATTTTTGGGCAAACAAAAGTTCAAGTGATTTCTTTGATTAATTACAGAGGAACACAAAATAAAACTAGTGATGCTAAAACAGCACGTACTTGCTCCCCCGTATTTTCACGCAAAATTGCGCGAAAAGTCCTCAAATTCTCGGAAAATTGTACATGACTTTATTTCAAAATCTATCATTAAGAAACAGATTTCATTAAGGGAAAAATCTCCATCTTTAAAATTCACGAAGACTGAACAAATTGGAATTTTTGCAAATCGGGGTTTTAACGAACATGAGACCTACACTATTCTCTTCACATCCTTCAGACTATTTAACAAAAAAAGATAATAAAAAACGATAGAGCCTTTGTTTTAATTTTCAAAATTGAAAAAGAACCGGAAGGGGGGTGGCGCAATTCTGACTTCATACTCGGATTATGCCTCAAACCCCCTCCCTCTCTTTAGCTTTATGTAATTTATGGACGACCTTTACTTACTAGCGGACCCGGCAATGCTTCGCTATTGTGTTTTAAATAAATACAATTCAAATCAAAATCAATTTGTTCAATGAAGATTAACTCATTTTACTATATTACACTACACTTTACAAATAAAATATTCGAATAAGCTTGTGCCGTCGACATTTGGTTCAGACCGCGATGAAAAGATGGCTGAGCTGGTCCGACTTGTACTCGTTCTGCGCAGCACTAGGTATTGAATGAATTGAATTTAGCCTATTTACTGGCGAGGACTCGGCCAGCAGGCCCGCTCTTCCGCTGACCACGCGATTTCGCTACCGCTCCTTTCACCAACTAGGAGAGAGAGGTTAATTGGGCGAGAAAGAGCGATTTTGACTTTAGCCAGGGCTCATTTAGGCTTGAGGAATCTTTACATTGCAATAAACTACGAACATGGGACAGCCGGCTTTACTTCCCCTCCGAAGGAAGGCGTCGAAGGATTTTTTCGCCCTTAAAAATCCACGGCTTCGATCGGGTTTGAACCCGCCAACTTGTTACAACAGTCCAGTACGCTAACCGTTACACCATCGCCAGGTACGCCACGAACCAGAAAACGGGCACTTCCTTTGAAAATCCAGGCCAGATGCTGGTCGTCATGCTGCATGACAAGCGAAAAGTGTTTAGAAACATCTTGAAAGAGACATAAATGGACAATTTTGAACGGCAACAAACCCAAAATAATATTCTGAAGATTTAGATGAAATAAAATATGCATATTGAGAAAAAATCATATAACGAATTAAGATTTGAACTAACAATAATAAGTTTATATACTTTATCCAGAATACTTTCGTTGCTTTCATTTGACAGATTACTCGTATTCAATAATAATGTCAACTCTTGTTTCTCTACTTGACACGTGCATGAACATGTTCTGAAATTATGCAAATGTTAAATAAAAAGCAATTATCAAATATCGCAACAGTGATTTCACTTCGGTATAAAAAAAACGCGCTGCTACAAAAACGAATACGAGCCTCGAAAGGAACTAGATTAATTTGTTCAGTCACAAGAAACAATATTTTCGAGTCGCAACGATTCTCTGAAAAGTCATTTCAATTAACTCTATTTCCACACCTCGTTTAGTCTGTACTTTGTAAGACGTTAAAAACAGTCAGTTAAAGATACACTTACTCATGTTTTTTATTTAGGCAGCAGATTTTGGAAACAAGCCATTTGGTTCTACATCGCATGGACAGATTTATTATCTACCTCTACTTGACTAACTTGTCGTAACTTGATTGAGACGATGGTTCTGATATGTGGAGAGATTCTGACAGTTCCGAATGGCATTTCTGCATCTTACAGCTTTATGAAACTTGCTACATGAAAGTAGATGATAAACAATTTACGTCAATCAATATAGAATAATTTAGCAAACCTTCAGATGTTGATTGCAGGCTTTGTGTATCTGATGACGTTAAAGTAAATCAGACGAGTTTCAAATACGGTGCCGTAGAGGTAGATCGTAAATCTGTTCATGCGATGTAGAACCAGATACCTTGTTTCCAAAATCTGCCTCCTAAATAAAAAACACGGGTAAGTGCATCTTGTAGTGACTGTTTTTAACATACTCTTTACTTTCTCGCTACCACTTACTCAGTAGAAAGTTAAGTAATGCTGCGCGAAAATCAGCGAATTTTCGGCAGAAAAACTCTTATTGCCGGGACCTGTAACGAAAAAGTGTATTTTGCTAAATTTAGAAAAAAATCCCCTACACATAGTGTAAGCAGAACACATGTTTTGTGGGTCTTTGATACCGAAAAATTGATTGACGGCAAAACGTCCGTCCGTCCGGTGTATATGAACAAGTCTAGCGTCTAAATTATGCGCACGACTCATTCCAAACTGAATAAACCCCTGTCGATCTGACGTAGGTCAAAGATTTGCGATTTTGAAAACCATTCATTAATTTTTGGGGGTACTTTACACGCAGCCCTTGGGACGTTCTCAAAATTCCCTCAATAATTGCTCCAAATTTTGTCTTTAAATTTCTTGTTAGAATAGAGTAACATACACTTAAAAGGGGGCATAGGTCCGATTTTCACTGTTAATTCTGAATTTTTGATAATCCCGTATTTCGTTACTTCCTCGTATACGTGCGTATATCTTTATACAGTACTCGAGTAAAACTCGTGAGTGTGCGGATGTGTGCGATTCCGTCACTCGCGCCTAGACCACGCGTCGTGCACCAATCGAGGCGTATGAGATATCATTCGACGCGTCTCGGTCTCCTTACGGAAAACTGGTAATTTGTTTTCGGGCCCAACTAGAAGATTCAAATAAATTTCGATAAAACGTGTTTTTTCGTGTTTTGGCGCTGCAATCTTAGTAATAATTCCGGGAATTAAACCAACGCATGCTAAATCAATCTATGTTGGTGGCGTTGATTAAACACCGATACTCAAAGGCATTTTTAACTTGTTGCACCATAAATTTCTTCCACGACGTTGGCAACACTGATGTTGACATCTTTAAGTGAACAATTGATTTATCAAATCGCGCTGCAGTTTGATATAAATTTAGATTCGAAATATCATATTTAAAAAAATAAATTTACGGAAACCTGCGAACAGTATTGCGTTGAAACTTATTTAACTTGAATTTCAAGTGAAAATGTAGAAAACAAAACTGTGTGTAATGCTAGTGAATGAATGAACTTTCTTATGTTCGACTTCGCATGTTTCCATTTGTACGTAAGTGTGCAAATACCGATTTTCAAATGAATGTGATCCACAACCTATTATTATTAAACTTCACCTTATTCACAAAAACATACAAATCAGTCGCATACAAAACAATAAAGCAATTGCAGAAGTAGAAGTGAACACAAATTAGACTGAGTTTGGGAAGTTTTAATCTCTTAAAAAATTAGGGGAGACAAATATGGAAGTGTTAAGGAAATCCGGGGAAGAATCAAATGTGGTTGTAAAAGTTGTTGCGGCAGAATTTTCGGAACTAATTGGGAACGATCTCCATTTTTGTAGTTAGCATTCGTGCTAATGCAAATGTGCTTTGTGCATTTTTGTGCATATTAGCAAAAAAGCGTAAAAACGTAGCTGCATTAAAATTTAACTATTAGCATTAAACCTGCAAGCGTTTGTTACGGCAATTATAATTTTGAAATTGCAATAAGATCAGTTGATATCTCGCTGAGCATGAAAGAAATGATGTATGAAAGGAATTTTCAACTCATGGAACTAATTTTTAAAACAGTTTACAGCGTCGGTGACGCCACATTTTACTACTACGGTGTAATAAACGTACTGTAGAAAAAGTTATGTAATGATTTACAAATTTCATCGGAAATACACATTTTGCGATCTCCATTAAAAAAGTGTTTTTTTTTTCAAAACGCCCGTCCGTCCGTCTGTCCGTCAGTCTGTGAACACTACTAGCGAATAAACCACAAGTACGATTTCTTCTAAAATTGATATTCCGAATTCGATCTGGCTCGAGGCGCTGCGATTTTGAAAAACGTTCTTTAAAATTTGGACTTCAGATGAAGTCCGTTGGACGTTTTCAAAATTTTCACAAAAATAGCTCCATATTTTTTATTTTTATTTTTTGAGAGAATAGAGTAAAATACACTTGTAAAGGTGGCATAGATCCGATTTTCACTGCTAGCTCTAAATTTTTGAAAAGTAAAAAATATTGAATTTTTCCGACGTTTTCATCCAACTGCAAAATTGAAGATGGGGATTTGTCCTTTAAATGAAATTTATTCTCCATAGTTGATTCTTTCAAAAAGGTCATAAATATGTTTTTGAAAATTTTAGTCGTTTTCGCGTACAATTGCAAGCAATGTGTGCAATATTAAAAAAGAACTAAAACAAGATTTTCTCTAAAACGGTGCTAAATTTTCTCTTTAAACTTTTGGTAAGATAGTTCGAAATGTACTCTATGAAATGACATACACGCCATTTTGCTCTTTTTTGGTTTTGCAAAAATGAAATAAATATAATTGTTTCTGACTGGCCTCTCACGTCGTGAGTTATTAATTAGCGGTGAATTTAAATGATGTCAGAAAAAGTTTCTGGGAAACACAATAATTTTCTGTGAAAACGAGCTCAAAATTCCGCATTTTCAGAAACGCTGATACGCAATGTTCCAATTTTTTCACGCCAAAACCGCTCCACTTTTTTTCAAACTTTCGTACGGATAGCGCTTATTACACTGTTTAAAATAACATAGAATTAGTTTTGCTGCATTTTTTCAAAAATTACACAAATGCCATTTCTTTGAAATATCTCTCAAGCTGTTAATATGGGCATTTCCAGCAATTTGTATACGTTATTGCATTGGTGGGTGATCTTTGGGATTGTTCTTCAAATGACCTCAAATGAAGTTTTTCGAAAACAAAAACGATTCCTGCGAAAAAGAGCTTCCTATTTCGCATTTACCCTAGAGCTTAAAATATTTTTTCTTAAAAACGGCTACAAATTTGTCAACGAAATTTTCCGTAGAGGGCGTTTTTTTCCAAAATTACAAAAATGTAGTTTTTTTGATTTGTCTCTCATTAAATGCCATTTTCTTATAAAAAAAAACTCAAAATTTTTTCAATGAAGACTGTGATTTATAACGAAGTTTTACTCTTCTTTTATATTCTTAAAGTAATATTTTGGTTATACTATTAGGAAATTGAAAAATTGAAAAAAAATGTAAATAAAGTATGAACTTTGGGCGGCTATGGATGGGAGCTGGCAAGAGGATGGGACAAGACCGTTAAGTCAGTCCATTCCGAGGAAATTAGAAAACTTTATTACGGGAAAGTCTGTGCCAATCTGTAGTACCACTAGTTAACAACGTTACAAATAATATTTAACATTATTTGATACTATTGTCTTCAAAAGGAGCAAAATCCAGTTTTGGTTCAAATCGAGATTATGATAACTCCAGATACTCCTTTTAGCTCTCTACGATACTTGTTTTCCAAAAGGACAAAAATACATTATTTTTTATTGTAGAAAACAGTAGTTGGATTCAAAAGGGCAAAATCCGAGCTCTGTTGAGAGCAAATAGAACAATTTCTAATTTCATCAATCGGCTGCTTCGGTAGTACTAGTAACGGCCGTATTGTGAAAATACTGTGCGATTTCGCGACTGTGGATTTTCTCAGAAATAATGTGAAGTATTGACTGAAATAAGTGTAACTGATACATATTTTATGTTCTTAGAGGAAATTGATATATTATTGTATAGCACAAGTCATAGGTTCCTTCTGCCAATTCAGTGCCAGGATACAATGCCGCAATTTGTGTTACCTGCGCCTCCTACTAAAGGAAGAAAATGACATCACAATACTACAAAAACATTGAACATATTGAAGTGGTATTTCCTGTGAGAGGTTACTCCCACAGGCCGTGTCTTTGAGAGAAGATAGAGAAAGATATCCAGAAACAGAAATAAATTATCACTTCCGAAGAGTACATAGACATAGTTGGGAAACATAGGCAAAGCTTCCAGCTTGGAATACATTGTAAAGTTTTGGCCTGGAAGAGTAATACGAATATGCATTAAAGCAAACTGGTACATGGTACTTCAAATTTGTCCCAACCAAATGTGTGATACTAACATGCGGAGCTAGAAAACGTAATGTAAATGTAGGGGTGAAACGTCGTACCGTATCGAGCAAAGAACAGAAATGTTCATTTCAAAGAAAAACTGTGCAATTTCGCAAATGAATCATGTAGAAATACGTCATGATAATGCATTCAGTGTATCTAAGGTCAAGTTGAAAGATGTTGCAAAGCTGTTGACCTCCTACTTTGGTGAAGGCTGGGAAACACACAGTGATCTTATTTACTAGGTGGATGTAATGAACAAAGCAGAAACTGGGAGATATGATAGTTGCAATATTGAAAAAAAAAAGATTTGTTGTGTGAATGTCATGTTGTTGACGATACACTTTTGGTATTTTAATATACTGAAAATATTTTCATTGAGATTTATATTATTAATAAACAGTGATACTATCAACATAGTGTTTTCTCTTTTTATTATAGATTTATAAGTTCAATAAAAATATATAGAAATGTCAGATACAAAAGAAGCAAACTGCTGATATGTGACTTTCAAAAAGAACAATATCCACCAGAAACCATAATTACAAATCAAACGTCACTATCTCCAATCATTAAATCAAAATAAATAGCAAAAAACTAACTTTTCACGAACAAGTATTTTATTATTTACATAAAATCATTTTTAGCATAATTATTAACCATACATTATGCAGATATTGGGGCTCAAAATGAGCTAAATTATAAATTGCTCATTCTCTAAAATTTGCAGAACTGGAGATTGCTTTTTTTGAAACTAACAGCCTCATTTGTAACATTGTTGCACTTTGTTTATAAACTCATATTAATTTTACTTAAAATCTTAATTCTTCAATATTAAAAATTATAAACTATTACAATTATGAATCTAAAAGTTATGTTTTTTTTTCATTTGTGGGAAGTAATCCGGGTAAATACATTCAAATCTGTAAAACAAGTTTCTCTCTCTCTCTCTCTCTCTCTCTCTCTCTCTCTCTTCTCCTATATATATTATATATTATATATGATATATATATATATATTATATATATATATATATGCAAAAACGACCTTCAACATAAAAAAAATATGTTCCGCCGGCACTTGTGTGTATTTTTTTCGCTGACCCCTTTGATGTTACGATCATCATAACTGCGGGTCTTCTAAACCACGTCGCCACATACCTTTATTAAATACTTTCCCGATACTAATACGAACAAAGCGAGAAAATTCAGCGAAATTGCGAGAAAGTTTTTTTCGTCTATATGCGACACATATACGTCCATCCCTTTATATTGTAACGTTCTTAGATGGTGAATAAATACAAGGGTAATATTTTATCAAAGACATTATTTTGTTCTGTAATGACACTAAAATACCTATATTTATTTACAGATACTTGACAGTCCTTGGTTTCTTCCACTTGGTAATTTTCTTTCATACTTCCACTGTTCACTTCTGATTATTTATTTACACTATTCACTTCTTCTACACTATCGCAACAGTCACGCAACCTACCACGTCCGATCACTGGTCCACCGTCCACTGCGCTGATCACAAGATCACTCCAGACCGCCAATTCACGCGCTGGATCAGTCCACGGCACTCTGTTACCGCGATGTACTCACACCTTCAGCTTCCACGTCAGATACCTGACTTAGACTGCCATTACTTCACATGAGTACTTACGGCCGCCGGCACGCGAATTTAACCTGGGCGGCCCCTTCGTCCATCCGAACCTTGGCACACTTTTCCGCGACTCCGAGGAACCCGGAACCGTCAGTTCGGGGGGGCGGCGCGCCGGGTAAGATGAAGCATCCGCCCACGAATTCCGGCAGACGATGCAATATCGTTAACAAAGTATATATATATAATTAATATATATATATATAGTAAATATTAATATCATATATATATATATATAATTATATGTAGTGTTATGCGATGTGGCGGGATTAATTCATTGAATCAATCTCAAATTTCATCATTATTCTGGTATTTTTCTCTTCATTTTTGTCAATCAGAAAGCCTTTGCATGATCAGCAAATTGCTCAGGCATGTGTCTTACTTTCCGCATACGAATACGTGCGACGTAGTTGTATTAAGTATTATATCGTATAAACAGGAAGAAATGCTGCGAAAATCATTTGACACTCGTTTATGGGTCCTTGATGCCGAAAGACAAGCATTTTTTACTTTCTCAACATAAACTTAGGAGTATTGAGGAAAGTTATGTTAAAGCGCGAAAAACAGCAATTCTAAACTTTCATCATACCTTAGTCTGATTTAGCTCTTACGCTTTTGGTCCACCATTTCCCCTGATGTTACAATCAACGTCTAACTTGTTTTTTTCAAATTCCTCAATTGTTAATCTTAATAGTAGAATGAACAAATATCTAAGAATTACTTCACTGTAAAATACTTACACGTTTTCAACTTCCAATATAAAACCAAACACATCAAATTGAGACACAAAACCTTAAAATTGGAACACACACTTCAAATCCCGAACAACTCGTCATATTTAGACCACCTATATTCAAATTGAGACGCATTCAACTTAAAATTAGATAAACATTTAATCCTTTATTTTTAGATTCACAGCATTACAAATTAAGAAAAAAATAATCAAAATAAACATCTAGGCCTAAACACAAAAATCACTCAACTCGTTGCTCTTTGAGTCTTTCAGTTTGAAACCCACCAAACGAAAAAATCGCACTTCACTAAAAACCGATGAATCGAACAAAAACATAAGTAAATAAGTCGGAAAATAGTCGTCATAAACAACAGTCCCGAGCAAACCTAGCAAACATCAAACGGATTGCCCCTGGAAACCATCTGAGAGCCCGCAATTCAAACAGTCCGGCGTATTTTTTGAACAGGACTAATGTACTCTACGTTCATTCTTAAATTGATTTCTTATAAATGCAAACTGTTATAACCAAACAAATCCATAATTAAGTGGTTCACAATGTATTGTATTCGAACAGAAATTTAAACAGTTTATACGAGCCTTGCAGAAAACATTAAGATGAGAAAAGCAGAAGTGAGATGTGCTAAAACGCCTCACTCCAACGCACCCTTCAAAAACCTGAATCAAACTTCCGTACACGTTGTTTTTGAAGAACGTTGTAAAATAAATGAAATATACTTTAAAGATATATGGTAAAGAAATTTGTAGATACCGGCAATTAAATATTTACTCACTCTTGCTATCCATTCACATTCAAAATAAACGTCGTGTAAATCTCTATGACAAAATATGCAAAATTTCCAAATGGCTTTAGTGCCTAATTCTATTAATAAAAAACATACTAACTTTATAAAGTGTTGACGATTAATAACATACTTATTTATCATTTCCCTTATATACATAATTATGGTGTGTGAAATTGATCTATGCTATCAAATATGCTATGTGTGTTATCGGACACGTTGGCGTTAATTGGCAGATAGTTAAATGGTCTGTAACACACCCCGTCTCAAAGGAATGGCGGAATTCGAACTTACCATTTCATTTCCCTCCCCTCCCGTTTTTCAAAAAATATAGGGAGTTCTCCAAAATAGACCGAGCACCACTTTCTTACCGTTATTTTGCTAACATATGTGAAAAATTAAAAAACAATTGAAACCAGTTCTGAAAAAACGATAATTCTTGAAAGTTTGAGAATTACCAAAGTTATCAAACAAATGTCCAAAACATACTAATTTTTCAAAGAATTCAACACAAGCTTATTGCGGAATCTGTTTGTGATTGACACATTCAATAAGAAAATAAAATCTTCAACTGTGTTGGTTGATGCGAATAAATGTGAGTTTCGCAAATTTTCGAAAAATGTGATTTTAAACACACATGAAACCGCCACCATTCCTTAAGCATCCTGTTATGCCACCCAGGGCAAAATTAATCAAAAAAATTTGTGTTGTTTTGAGAAAAAAAGTATTAAACGGGGCGGGGGGCAGGGCGGTACTGATGATTTGGTAAAAAAACAAAAACACATACTTTTAGTATTTGGCCCGCCAAAACGAGTTATTGCCCGTTGAAATCTCGAAGATCGATTGTTCAGTAGCGTTTACATTACTTTCTCTACCCTATGGGTTCCGGAATCTCCGGTGTAGTATGTATACAAGAAAGAAAGAACAGTGTTGAGAGCAGTTCGAAATGATGTGAGGATTCATTAAATACCCTTGCGGAAGATCAAGAGTATCCGTTTTAAATTCTCAGGTCTATCGAGTTCCTTGAGGATCATCGGGAGGAGTAAGTTCTAGTTGTGGAGGAAAATCTCAAACGGTTTGAGGCGCTAGCGTTGTTCACAGAGAACGCGGCAGATCATTTTTTTGGTATTCAAGGACCACAAGACGACGATGGTCGTATCTACCCATTGTTCGTTCCGCCGGTTGCGCTTCTCGTTCGCCATACTTTCCAGGTTGAAATTTAGCTGATTGCGAATGTAAATTACGTGAATCACAAGTCATGTGGATTTGATTCACTCTGCAATTCTGTTGCTACAGTATCACGAGCTTAAGCAGTTGATACTTTGGGTTTTGCGGGATGGGTATTGCAATGCCAAAGTACCACTCCATTTGCGTTGTTAAATGAACTGACTACGTGCCGAAAAACGTTGCTAGTTCTCACAAATCAAATAGACCTATGTTCCTCTTTAATGCAGTTGGTTTTCTGCGAGAACATTTGTAAACACGTAATAAATTTTGGGGTGTTGGTACTTGTTTTCGTTATACGTATATTGATAATGCGATTGCTGATCTCTCAGAGCTAAGTTACTTTTAATATATTTGCCAGATCGTTAATTTTGCTTGACAGTGTTTGCGAATACAGGTTGATAAGCACACATTACTAATCTCGCATTGACTAATTTTGCTTTTATGTTGCTAATTGCAATACTATTTTCTAGGACTCAAGAAATTAATATTTCCGTTCTGCAGTAAACTAAATATAAACAAAGTGTGACATGGCATTTATATTCACAGATCCCAGATTAACGAATTGAATGAGCAACTCTGTTGTTGAATATTTTTCCGGGGTACTCCACTAATTCCGGTAATTATCACATAACAAGCTGACCTTTCGCCTATTTGCGAGTATCTGATTGTGCTCGCGATGTATTCACCTTACTTTGAGTGTCCAATGAGACGGAACAACCTGTAGGGCGAGCATCCAAACGTTACTCCCGCAAATGGGCAAGCAAACCATCCACACCACTCGGATTGCCGAGCATGCTCGTCGACTCGCCTGGAATATCCAAAGTATTGGCTCACCCCTCTCATTTGACACATGCACTATTGAAACGTTTAATCAACTCTTCGCCAGATGTCTCCATAGCCGGGGTGACCAGTCAACGTGTTCGTGAATGGTGGTTCATTCGTTCTCTTCACCGACTCCTCGCGACTTTGTACCGGCCGCGGCCCACCCGTCCAAGTCGTTCACGCCCCGTCACATCGGCGTTCCACGAATCCTCGTATCCCCGTTCTAGATCGCTCGCTCCCACTCACATAAATTAACGCTATCCATACACGATCACTCGCAGTCCACTGTGCCTGACTGCCCACAGCGATTC